ACCGTGTATCGCTCTGTCCAGCGCCCCTCCCCTCCGTAATATCGAAAATATCCCGTAAATCATCCCCCGCCTCATCAGTAATCTTTGTAAAACTCCTCGTCAACTTGGCCAACTCATCTGCAAACGGGAGACTCTGTCCACCGTAGGCATCAGGCGCATCATCCTTGAGATCAAACGGACTTCGAGACGAGGAATCTTTATCTTTGTTGAAGAGCGAGCGGAAAGCGTCGACGACTTTATCCTCGAGGCTGTCGATCGTCTTTTGCTGAAAGGTCTCGAGCTCGGAGGTGATGCGGGGTTGGATCTGGGGCGCGAGGGAGTCGACGTACTCGTCTACTTTTTTGAAGAGAACTTCTGGGACGCCGCGGGAGGACATTTTGGGAAGAAGCAGAGTTGGTGATGGGGATGGAAAGGAAGCTAAGGTTAAGGTGTGAGGGTAGAGTTGGTTAGTTAGTGAGGGGTCCTGAAGCTGAGGAGCTGGAGCTGGGCTGAGCTGGCAGAGCTGAGTTGGCATGTGACGTCAGCTCTTGCGATCCACTTTCATGCAGTTGAGTCAATCAGTGTAAGTCAATAATTCTCTATATAAATAATAAACAATAATAATAGAAGTGAAGTGAAGTGAATCTTTATCTATCCCAATCAATTGATCTCCCAATTTTCTCAAACAAATCGTCCCCTCCTCTCGACCTCCATAGCCTTAGGCTTCTTCCCCTTCGGCTCAACAACAACCCAATCCTTAACTTTGGCCTCACCCACCGCCAATGCCATCAACTGCTCATCCGTACAGCTCAACGGCGCATCCCTAACAAAGCACATATTCACCGGCGACTCAGGAACCTTATTCATCACACCCCTCACACTCTTACGTCCCTTGGTCTTGTATCCCTTATGCTTCTTCAGATCAACTTCTCCAGTCGCTAAATCCCGTCGCGACATGACTCTGTTGAAGATCACAGACAGCGCCTCGGGCTGATACCCCGCTACACCATGTCCAGACTCGAAAATTCGTGAGAATGATACGTTGCCGTGCTCGCGGACGAAACCAGCTGTGTAGGAGCAGTTCGTCTTGATGGGTGTGTATCCAGCGGAGCGGAACTCAGGAGCAGAGGGGAAGTTTAGTGAAAGACTGATGTTTTCACCGCCGTACCCTTTACTAATTAGCAATCGTCTGTAGTCAGCTTTTGTGAGAACTTACAAGGACAGCGATAGTCGCGATCAGCGTAGATCAACGCAACGTTGACACCCCGCTCAATAACCCTCTCCACAGCATGAAGACTCCCAATCATGATATCTCCCGTCTGTCCCAACCACACTTTACCAATGTTATTGACTCCAGTGGTAAAGTTAAGCGGAACTCCGAGATCGCGCTGGACCCAAGGTTGGTTGAAGAAGTTCTCAATGTAAGGCTTTGGAAAGAGCGTGGTGTTGGAGTGCGTGATGTCAAAAGGCGATCGCTGTTTCAAGTCAGTACATGCCATATAAAACGATGGGGAGGAGAGCGCACGTCGGAGGTAGCCTGGTAAGTCCCCTGTATCCCAAAGAAGCACAAATTCGTCGCCGCAAGACAAGCTTCATTAACAGTCTCGTTATTCCCGAACCTCTCAGGGTCGCCCTCCGCCACGAGAGCACGACACTTATCCGTCAACGCATAGCAGCCCGTCTTTGGTTCCTCAATCTGCTCGAGCATACCCTTGTACGTCTTATCGTCAAAGAATTGAAGACCGTAGTTATTATGATGACCGTACTCAGGGTACCCCTTCGCCATAGCTCGTGCGTCAATGCCAGGTTCTTGAAGACCCAGAGTCGCAAGGTTAAGAATCGTAGCGTTTTTAAAGGTTGGTTTGGAGTTGGAGATGAGGGTGTTTTGATCTTGGAAGTAAGAGAAGTAGTTGGGGCCGTAGAAGCCACCGTACTAAAGATGTTAGCGATGGTAAGTCAAGGTTGTGGGGGGACTTACTGAAGATGTCCAGAGTGATATCTCATCATTCTCAGTGTGCCACTCCGGAAACCTAACTCATTAGCCCTACCCAACACAGCTTGACAGGTAGACATACTCATTGAACCAAACCTGTGCAAAAGCCCACATAGTCCTAGCACCACTCATCGTTGTCTTCGGCACAGTCTCCAACTCCCCGGAGTCAAAAGTCGCCTGCAAAAACGTCCCATTCGTCTCTGGCACTTTCTCCCCCTTCACCGGCGTAAACGTCTGGGTGAGGGTATCAAACGTTCCATTGACTAGATCAACGTACGAAAAGCCTGTACCCAGTGGCTGGTCGATGTATAGCATGTTGACGTGCTTGTTCCATGATATGTCGTTTAGGGTCGTTGAGTTGGAGTCGGCGTTCACGGAGCAGGGGAAACCGTTTGTATTGTCGAAGGAGGATGAGCCGGGACCGCCGCCTATGTAGATTGATGTTGGGGCAGTAGAGGGATTGTTTCGGGCCTCTGTGGTCTATCAGTATATAAATTACATGAAATTGGGTAAGGTGTCGTACCAAAGTACCAGAAGAACAGATGAGCTCTCTGCTTTTCATCCCAATGCTGAAAATCAGGCAGTAAACTCTTCGGAAGCGATACATAACCGCTGTAAGCACTGACACCCTCAGTAGTCTCACAAACAGAAGTCTATTCGACTGTTAGTCACTCCACCGTCTGAGAGGCTTGAAGCCTTTACCTTCTTGTACGAAATCTCAGCGCCATTAAACAGTTTGGACGACACGACTTCTAGACCCTTTGGCCCAGCCACCCACTCTTGAGCCGCCACCAACGACACAAACACCAGACCAAGATTCTTTGAAAGCCTCATTGCGAAATAACAAAAAGAGAAGAGTGTACGAGATGAATAGATACTCCTTCTCTTTCCCAGCGATAAACCCACGCTCTTATACGGATTAATCCCAGAACATTGATCAACATCATCTCGCCAATCGCTCATCATCAGAGAGGCTCAGACTCCATGAAACACATCACGACCCTGGGGGCAAGAAAACGGCGAACCTTACATTAGGGTGTCGAAATAAACTCGGTAGAAGTTATCCTAAGTTTAGTAAGAATATACTGAATATAAATAAATTTACCTAAATCTTTTTGTCATTTAGGATCGAGGTCCTGTGTTTTCTTTCCTCCCAGCCTGCTTCATTGCTCTCAATTGAGTATCGCAACCATGATTGGCGACCCGACCAATCACATCCAGAAGCAAGAGAACAATATAATGCACTGATGACTCTGCGATCCACTGCTTCATTCTGATTTAGGAGTGTTTGCTTACGGCCAGGGCATTGCCTGTAAGGCTGAACAAAGGATGGGACTGTTTGTTGGCGAGCCGGCCAATCAAGGAGCCTCGTTGAGCTTACGGTGCGTGGCTTGGATGCTCGCCAAACAATTTCTCCGGAATGAGGAATGGATATTCGATCTTGGGTACGAAAAGAGACTCAATTGAAGTTTATCGTCATGTCGGAAGAAGTTAAATTTAGACGTCTTTGTGTTCACCGCTTCAGTTTCGTCATGGATGAAAATAACAAGCCATTGACGGTCTGTCCCTCAACCCCCATCTTGCCCTTCATCATTACAGTCAATCACACATTCACATCACAGCATGGATAAAAGTCAGAGGTCCAAATGATTCTCTTGAGCTGTACCTGCATTGCATTCTGGCAGCTTTGTAGTGTATAGTATAATTTATATCTGTTCTGACCCAACTCCTTTCCTCCCTTCCAAACACAATCCTTCGCATTGCATTCCTTTCATCGCAAGGCAAACTTTTTTGAATCCATGCCCAATTGTCCTGTCCATTCGCCATTATACAGTCTTCGCATTCAATCAAGTCATCGTTTAGGCATGCGCCTCGGAGACATTCGTGACACGCGTAAAACCAGGCTTCGCTCAACTATCTGCAGACGTAAAGATAAAACACAATGGTCTGTCACGTCACTCGCAGAACCCGCATTAAAGCATGTCTCTGTCCGTTCAACGGCGTGAAGCAAGCGTTAGGGTTGAGCGGTGACGATGGCCAGAAAGTTCCGATTAAAAAACAAGAGTAAAACAGAAGCGGGTGATATTCCGCAAGAGCAAACGAGGAAATCAGGACTCGCAGGTAAACATGGCTCCCAAACTCCGATGCGGATGCCCGGCTTGCCATGCCAGGCTAGCACAAGTCCAATACCGTAACGCCAAACAATTGTGGCCGTCAGCCGTGAAAGCATACCCAGTGACTGTATGTCAAAGGGCTGTGCTGTTTCGGATCAAACAGCCGGTAGAGTAGTGATGTTGGGCGACAATCATAATGTTGTCTTGTCCCATAAGTGTTGAAGGGTAATTAGATATCAAGATAGTAATGCAATCTTGGGTTGCTCTTGATGTTGTGTTGCTGGTGGATGTTAACAGTCTAACCTCATTCCACGGTCGCCGTTGCGATTCTATCCTCGGATCGCCGTAGCAGCATGTCCATCAGACCAGGGAAACCGATCCATCATCTGTTGCTGGACATGGTACGACAGATCGTTGGATGGTGTAGCATCAAACGACACGAAGGCGGGTGAGGCCGACCTAGCCGTGGCTGAAGGTCTCGGTGAAGGCGAAGTACTGTTGGCACGAAACGCATCCTTTGGTGTTGAAGCACCCGAAGGAGGGCTCATGGCGCCGTGCAGCTGAAGGGTATGGTGAGCTGCGGGTCCGGCGTGATGGGCATTTCCGTTCGGGCTTCCAAGCGAGGTGGTATAGCTGCGGCGGTGGTGATTTCCGCCGGCAGCACCGTCGAAGCGGGCACCGCTGAGTGTACCGTCCTTCATGTTAGGACTCGACTGTTTTGATCCAAACTGCAACACGAACAACTGTTAGTAACCGACTCTTTCATTTTGCTTCTGTGTCGCCGTGCCATCCCGTAGGCCTTGGAGACTGATGCTGAGTTTCTGGTGGATCAGGGATGGGCGACGGGCACCAGAAGCGATGGGTGAAGCAGGGCGAACTTCGGGGGCACGTACAAAGCAGTACTTGTTGACCAACTCTTCATATGAAGAGCTGGAGATGGTCGAGTTGGGAGAGGTAGCTCCGGTGGGAGACTGGCTCTTAGCTTTGGTGGCTGGCTCAGGGAGAGTGAGGGTGGGCTTGGGAGTCCGGACATTGGCCTTCATGTAAAGTCCATCCTTATCCTGAGAGGCCTCCTTGTCCTTCGCGGCCTGGACAGCAGCGCTCAAGGAAGCACCAAAGTCATAACGGTTGGAGAAGGCAAGTCCGCTAGGCGAGCCGAAATCCTTGGAGAGGTTATCGCTAGCAAGGTTGCCAGCCGACTTGGACTTGAGACGGAGACCGCCGGTGCTGTTCTCAGACTCGCCGAGATACTCGTGGATTGGCTGGTCAAAGTTGAGCTTAGCATCGTCACCAAAGTCACCAAAGCCAGCGGGCATCGACTTGGGTCGGGGGACATTGGCGCTGCTGGTGCGTCGGCTACTCCGGGGAAGGCCATTAGCGGGTCGGGAAGAAGCGCCCTGGAAGTTGTTCTTCCCGTTCATGGGCAGATGCTTCTTTCGGAAGTCGACCTGGAAGTTAGAGCTGCTGTTGTTGTCCCAGTACTCCTGTCCGTTGACGGTATAGCGGATGCAGAGGAAGAGTGTCTTTGACTCGAGGTTGGCCGTGTCAGCAAGCTTGATGGAAAAGGTAAAGCGATCATGACCCAGCGGCGTTTCCCGGGGGCGGATTTCGTGGCTGTAGTCAGCGGCAACCTCCGAGGTGGTCTTCCAGTAATCCAGAGTGAAACGGCAGGTAACGGCCTTGGAGAAGGCGATGTTGGCGACAGCCACAGAGCCAAGAAGGGACTTCTGGTCGGCCGAGAGCCAAACCTTTTCCAGTCTCACGGGCGACGACTTACGCGCGGCTGAATCGTGAGGGAAGTTTGTGGTGAGGATCTCCCACTCAAAAGGAGGGGTGCGGGCAGTCTGCTTGCCATTGCCAGGGAAGGGATACTCGGTATCACTCTCGTAGCTGTCAATTGGGGAAGATCCAGCACTCACGGCCAGAGGTCGGTCCACTTGCAAGAAGTGTCGGACGTGCTCGAGGTGTGAATCAAAGTGAACAGCTTTGGAAAAGATGGGGGTACCGGGCATGCTTGAGGGGCGTCGTCGGGAAGAAGGACGGAGGGCAGGTCGGACTAGCTCACCAGACTTCTTTCGCACCATCTGAGGCTTCTTAAGCAGGTCCTCGTCAGACTCCTCCTCTGATACTGATATCGAGTTGTCGTCTGACTTGGAGAGGCCAGCGTTTGGCTCAGTGGCTGATCGAACGTGTCCCATCTTACGGCCCTTTGCGAGATCGCCTAGTGCGCTTGTGCTGAAGCTCAGATGTACACCATCTTTGCGGCGGAGCTGGAGATGTTCTGTGCTGTCTTGGTGCTGCAATTGTGATCGTGGAGGAGATGATGAACGTGGCATGGGGATCTGGCTGACAGCATCCCGTAGAGCCTTGTCAAGCTTTCGACCTCGAATCTGTGGTTCTTGCTCCTCGTCGTCGCTACCGGAGGAAGCAGAATCAGGTGGCGAGATGATGGCACCCATAGGCATTGTGCGTTCGTCAGTGACGGGTGGTGGTGATTGTCTCACGCTTGAAGGAACAGCTGTGCCCATGCCCTTGAGATCCTCCGATGTTCCCTGCGGTGTCAGCGTCCCTGTCGATCCATCGCTGAGGGCTGAAGCTGAAGGTGTTCGTCGATGCTTTGTAAGATATGAAGCGGATCGCGGCAGACTAGGTCGAGGGCTCGATTGTAGCGACGACCGCCGACTCGCTACGGGCGATGCGGAGGCTGACGAAGCGGGAGATCGATGTGAGGGTGGCGTGTAAGGCATTCCCAAGGTGGGTTGTGTTGTGATTAGAGGGAGAAGAAGGGGGGAGGAGAGGAGGAGATTATTCCGTGGAAGCCGTTTGCCAGGAACTTCGCTTCACCACGTGGAGGATAAAGTAAAAGAAGTAACCCAGGTAAATAATGAGGTTTTCGCTCTCTTCTCGTGATGAGAGAGATTCAAGGGCAGTTGCGCGGAGAAGTGGTTTTCCTTTCTCCTAGCGTATGCGATGAAGATCAAGGCAGGCGCCAAAGGTGATCGAGATCAGGTCTAATAATGGGGAAGGCACTGATTAGCATGGTTAAGAAACAGGGAATTTTTGTGGCGATGCATAATTAGACGAAAAACGTGGGATAAAGATAAGAGCTGATGGGGGACAATTCATGGCAAAAAGGTTTTCGCAGGCTGTTGACAAAAGGTAAAAAATGACGAATGACGATTGTTTTGAATTGTTTGACGATTGTTGCGATGGAAGACAATAAGAGGATGACGCGAAACAATAGGACAGTGCTGTGCTGAGGTCCAGGTGCATCCACAGGGGAGTACAGTGAGTGCAGTGGTGGTGGTTTCAGTGGGCGGGCGATAAGGTGCAGTGCACTACTTACATGATGAAATTGATCAATGCGCACCCCAACAAAAAATAAGCAGGCAAACTGATACGACTCGAGAAAAACAAATGCTCTGGCAATATTCCAGCAACAGAGCAGATAGAATTCCACGAAAGGTACAGCTCGGCAATTGGCGGTGGTTGGGTTGAGGGTATCACAGTGAAGTGATACAGCAGATGAGGGATCCGTTGAACGTGATGCGAGAAGAGTCGTCGTCGGATTAGGAGGCTCGTCGAGATGATGATGATGATGATGGCGATGAGGACGATGGCGGCATGAAACAGGAAACCAACAAAGACAAGAATCAATCAATGATCAAACAGTGAAAAACAAAATACAATGAAAAAGGAGGCTGCTGATATCAAAGACTT